ATTTATGAAACTAATGTAGCATAAATCATAAGAAAAGAAGGGTATCCTAGAATTTTTCATATATTTTTTTTACGAAATGTGAGTTATCCACACATAAAATCAAATAAATTCAGATTAAATCAATTTTTTGCCTTGTTTTTGTTTTTTGTTTTTTTTTATATCTATTTTAACGAATGACATAGGCAAACGAAAATCAATTTGTTATAGGCAAAAATTAGACATTTTCCCTAAAAAAAAATTGAGTCAAATTGATTAAATGGATTTAATTAAGTACCCTTGCTTAAATTGTTTTGTCCAACATATATAGATCTACCCTTGGGTAATTAATTATTTTGGGGGAAGGGACATGGAATTTTAAAAGTACAAAATAATATTAATGGAAGTTAGTGGGTTCTTGTTTAACTTAGCTGGCAATCACTAAATTAGTGTGTCATCTTTTTCATAATTAAGATAAGATGTATGCTTTGTTGGTTATTTGTTTGGTTTGATTAGATTAGAATATCCCACACACCTAACTTACTTTCTCTTTTTGAATCTTTTTCATAATTAAAGATAATACTTTTTTTTCCTTTTACTTTGTGGTGGTTGTGAAGGGGTAGGGGGGACCTTTCTCGTATCGACACTATTAGAAATAAATATTTTTTTATAAAACATGAATTTTTCACCCTTTTTCCGCCGAATTAGCTTACACGAAAATGCATGGTGGGAAGCAAATTGTTACTGAAATAATTGGGAACTTCCTAATTTTTTCATATGAAAATATTATTAATATTTTTTTCTTTTATCACTGATTCAATTAAAATATTTTTGGGAATAGCTACTTAGCATTTTTACTGGGAAATTCGGTAGGAAAATAGTTATTTTTTAGTAGTGTGAGGCATGATTGAATTCAAATTGATCCACGTTGAAAAATTTCACATTAAAAGGTAAAGTGTTTCTGAATAAAGATAACTTCGTACTTAGGACTTAAACCTAGGCGACCACTCTAATGAAGAATGGGGAAATATGTATTTCAGTCCCTTATTGATATATCACTTTGGGTTCCAATTTTAAACGACTTGAATTTGAGACTTCTATAGTTGAGAACGAAGGAGTTTTAATCCCTTTATTGGTATATCACTTCGAATTTTAACTTTCAACTACTTGAAAGACAATTATAGAAAGTGAAAATGTATGGCTCATGTGACTTACCAAAGTTAAGTTATTTTTTCAAGTGTTAGTAACGAAATTCAATCAATCATAAAAATATTTTGACAATCACAAGATATAATCGAAATATCAAAAGTGAAAATGTTGACAAAGATAATGAAAAATGGAGGAGCATATATATATAAACAAGAAATGGTGAACATGGTTTAGTTCCACTACTCATTTGGCTTGACCTAAGAAAGGCAATTTATTGAATTATTGTTTTTTTGGTGGGACTTTATTATTAGAAATTTTAGCTATTATGTGAGTTGTATTTTGGATGCATATGCTTCATTGGTTTATATAGAGAGAATAGTACTACTAGTTGAAAGTAAGATATGTCATTTTCTAAGTGATTTCTAGTTGGAGAAAACATGTAATGTTTGGTTGCTAAATGAAAATTTTGAGATTTTTTTAGATAAAGTTGAAAGTAAAATATGTCATAATCATATATTCTTTCTTGCATTTGGTTTATTAGAAGTAGAATCCTAAGTGAAACTCAAACTAACTCTTAGAAACATATTATTATGAGCTTATCCATTTATAGGGTTAATTAAAAGTGGAATTCTAGATGAAACTCAAACTAATCATTTAATGTGACCGTTCGTTCAACTAGTTTACAAAATATGTAAGTTCTCCGCTTTGAATATCTTCTCTTTTGAGGCAAGTTGGGGTCTATCAAAAAAACCACATCTCTGCCTTGTAAAGGTAGGACAAGATCTACATACATTCTACTCTCCTCAAATTCTACTTGTGGGACTATACTAGGTATGTTATGGTTGTACGAAATCATGTATACTTTATACTAAATATACATACATATATATATGATATACATTGTCAATATGTAGATTGTGTATGTTGCAACCATGTTAGTAAACTAGTTGGTTGAACTGTATCAGTAAGTTTCCTTTTTATCGTACTATTTATAATTCCAAATATTAAATTATATGCACATAAAAGATAGTATAAAATGATTTAATTCCTTACTCAAATCAACATACTTTTTTTATGGCAAATTTCAACTACAAATTAAAGATTATTGGATTTGTCCCTAGTAAAATATTATTTTTGTGACACGTATTTAAATTTCGTAAAAAAGAAGAAGAAGATATACAATAACAAAATAAGGTATTTGTAATCTTCGAAAATAATTATACTAAAAATAAAATATAAAATAATTAATTACTACTAACAATAAGTATTTTGACAGAGTAATAGAAAGAACAACAAACGTATAGTTACGTTGTTGCATAATTGAACTTCTAAAAAACATAAAATAAAATAATCTGACATCCTTCATTATTTTTCTTTTATTATTTCGAATTTCGAACAAATGTGTACTAAGGTAAAAATAAAATAAAAAATGTTGTTGGCAAAAGAGGGACTCCATTAAACAATGTAAAGTACTGTTCCTGTTTGAGGTGAAACTTTAACTAATCCACATGCATGATTAATTAAGAATTATAAATTTTCATAGTGACTTTAAGTGAATATTTAATAATACTCGGTTTATATTTAAATATTTATTAATTATTTCAATACTTCCTCCGTCCATATTATATAAGTAATATTTTATTAACTTTTATATTTAGTTCAAAATTACACAATAACAAGAAGATACTAAATTTCTTATTTACCCTTATGTAGATATATAAATGAGTTCTTAGTTCTTACATAACGAAGGAACCATATTAAATAGGTACTATTAAATTATAAGGACAATTTAGTGAAAACACTTTTTTTTAAACTGAGTGAATTTCTGAATAAATGTGCTAAAAACACCATATAATATAGATCGGAACAAAAATAAATCGATTGTTATCATTTTGAAAATATGAATTTAGAAGTCTTTCGTTCGGAAGATACAACTCTTTATCAATATGAACATACAAAAATTTCAGTGATTTGATATGTATTAGAGACGGAAAGAATTAGATCGAGATACTCCACAGTCCACACAATTGGTATACCAAAAATAAGATTTGAACTGATGAGAAAATTATTGAATTCTGTTGAACTCGAACGTAACACACTACGCGCAAAAATGATTAAGTTGGAGTACGTGTGGGTGATGGGAGACAAATGCATGGAAATGCACCTTGTACAACTTTGTCAGACTAATGTATAAATTCTCTCTCTCTATATATATATATTTTACACCATCTTTTTACTACAAATCATATGACATACCTTTGTCCGACAATTTGTCTATTTGATTTTACCTACGCTTTTGTCTAATTTCCCCTTCATTCACCTACTCTTTTTTATTGATTATTTTTCCACCTTTGAGATGTTAGCCATACACAATTAAGGAATTTAGAAACAAGAAATGTAGATTATTTTTTTTATAATTATATTCCTTTTCTTCATGTATGTACAATGTATCATTTTCTTGTGATTTTAGGTAAGATCGGTTTAGAATTATGAGATTCTTTTTTATCGAATAGAAAAGGTTGTAGTACAAAATGTACTTCTAGGTAATTGTCCCATAAATCTTATAGCTATCTCTATGAAGAGTAAATACAAGTAGAAAGAGAATAGTAATATAGATTGTGGTGAGATGGTTGAGATCACTCCATCCTTAATCAGAAGTTTTGGATTTGAGCTATTGTGAATGGAAGAAAATCTTGTTGAGAGTGTCGCCCCAAAAATTAAGTTATGCAATACAAATTCGGAATTTAGTCAGATGTCAATTTAAATACTAAACACTAGATGGAAAAGAGAGAGTAGAAAGAGCCTAACGTGCTTTAATGTATCATTGTTTTAAAGAAAAATATATCATCCACACCATGACTCACCACTTATGATAGTATCATTCAATAGTGTAGGCATACGCAGGATTTTCAGTAAACAGTATTTATATTTATAGAAGAAAGTATAAAACCTTAATTATCAAGAAAGTAGAAAATAATTAGAGCTACTATTAGTATCATCATTTTATAAATATTGGTTATTATTGATATTATTTTATGTTATTCTTCTCTTTAAGAGATTTGGGTCAGCCCAATAATTGGGAAAACAAGCCAGTTTTTAGCGGCCCACAATTGAATATATTAAGCTTGGGCATTCATGAGCTATCTATTTGGCTGGGCTGAAGTCTTAATAAAATTTACATAAATAGCTAAGAGTTGAAACATAATAAGCCTCATTAGCTGGAGTTTACTTATTTACGTAGTGTATCTATAGTTTCGATAGTTATGGTATATCTTGCTTGAAATTTATTTTTATACGAATTTGAGTCTTAACTTAAATAATGAGGCAGAAATTTAGATTATTAAAATGGAAAACAATCCCACAAATTATGGTTATTGTATTTGATTAGAATTCTTACCAAATATGACTTCTACCAAACAAAGAAAGATAAATTTAACTTCCTAAATAAACATGTCAAAAAAGGACTTTATATATACAAATAAGTAAATGTATTTTGACACCCAATTTTAACCCTCCACAATGTATATTAATCATCGAGTTTCTTCAATCTTGAACGATTTGAAATAATTTATTTTATAAAATTCACAAAGTTTTTCAAGTGATTTTAAATAGTTTTGTCACTTTTTTTAAATAATATATATGTTTTATATAATTAGTGTATTTTCTAAATATCTGAAAATCATCTCAAAAGATTTTATATTTTAGTTAAATAAATATTTCGTTAATTTTGTTTAGTTTATATTCTGAGTTAATTAGTTTTATAATTAAATTAATTATTTTTATTCGATTAAGATTACAAAGCTCCTTAATTAGTCTTGCCCAATTTAATTTAATTTAATTTAATTTTCCTTCTTCCCAATCCAGCCCAACACCAAAATAACCCAATCCTCACCATTCACCAACAAAACATTCATTCAATACAGCAAACGCATACCCTTAAGCGTGTGTGAAACAAGGAGAGGAAAAACAGTGTTCTCGCTAAGATAAACCCACCACTGTTTATTGGAGCTCCGATTAGTGGTTGTGAAGTCACCATACTCGGCGTCTCAGAACGCTGCCCGGAAAAAAGGTTATTTACTCGATTTATTTTGTTTTAACATAGAATTATGTGTACAAGTAGTAGTCAGTAGTGTAGTGGAGTTCTGTTAGCTTCTATTTATGCATATTGCAATGAAGTTTAGATATTCACATTTGGTTTGTTATGCTTCAACATTTGCCCTGTATGTTTTATACCTTAATGCAGTGGGTGGTGGTCAGGGTGTTCAATTTGTTGGAAAAAAAATACCGTACGTACAAGTAAAATGATATATTAAATAACATATTTTGGACACCCTTAACACAACAAGTTATTGCCGCCCAGTGGTTTCACCTCCTAGGAATGAGCTATTTCTGGACACTCTTTGTGAAATTCCTGGCTTCGCCACTACCTTAATGTCGTTTTCTGATGCTTGTATTACAGAAGGAATATACTGTTTTTCCGAATATATAAAAATACACAAAAAATATTGTCTATAAGGTAATATTAGTGAGATACGACTAATTACATCTTCATCAAATTGAAATAAATATATACATTATTGCATTTAACTAATAAATTTTTTCATTGACGATCTTCATAAGTTCGAGTAAATAAGAGATATAAATAACGATCTACATTGAACATTCACAAAAGAATCTGCAATATTATTTTGTGCTAACCTTAGTATTCAAATATTCGCCTAAATAAGCAATACTATTTACTATAAATATATTTTTGAATTGGTAATCACGTGCGTTGTCAAAAAACTAGTATATATATATGAATGTCTTGGCAGTAGTGTCACAGTAATAATATGGTCACTTCATCTTATGAATTATAAAGTTATATATGCTTTCAAGAAGGCATTTTGTTTAACTTAGATTTCAAATTACCATGTGACTTCATCTTCTTTCAAGCTACTTTAACATCTAGTACAGGCATTGGATTGATATATATTGTTATTTGGAGTCAAAACTTATGGTGCTTTGCTCTTGCTGAACCATGTCCGGAAACCTTAAATAAATTTACTTGTCTTGGATGGCTCATTTGTGAAAAATATATCCGTTTTAACTAAGATGTGTTATCTCATGTTTATCCAATCTAGACATTCTGATCTATTACTTTGGTTGATTAGAACGTTTATCTTAGCATGTCACTACTCCCTTTGTTCACTAACAGTGGCCCAATTCATGTCCTAATCCTTAATCTTATTTGTCACGCAGAGTTGTTATATTAGTTTCACAAATACGACGTCGTTTTGCTCTGATTGTTGCTTCCTGCTGATCGTCGGCCGCCGTCGCCCTCCACCTGTTCGTCGGTCTTCTTCAGTCGTATCTCCGTTCATAGGTTCCTCGGTTAGTTCTCAGTTCACTTCTTTTTCTATTTTTTTTCAGAATTCTATATATTGTTACACAAAAGTGAATTGATTTGCCATATGAGCAGTTAGTTACGGGCTGTTTAATTAGTTAGGAGAAGACATCATATGCTTGCAAGATTCTCGATGAAATGCCTAAAAGAGATTTAGATGTAGATTGTCTGTATAGTGGCACCATTGAGAGAAACAATAAAACTGAAGCTTTTTTGAAGATTTGTTTTGTAATGCGTTCTTTATAGATAATGAGAGTGATTTTGAAAATATGCATCACAGGTGGCTTTTCCTTTGATGATGAGAGTGATAGGGATATAAAATCTTTAGATAGTGATTGGAAGGAAGTGCGGAAGCTCATTTTGATTTAATTGTTTTCAAGATCACGACTTGTTGTGATTTATGGTTCGACTTTGAGAGTGATACGGAAACTTGGGGTAAAATCTGGCCATGGGAAGAGATTGAGAAATCATTCTTTCTAGTAACAGTAGAAAGACCAGACCTAATTATAGAGGAAGAAGCACAAGTGTGGGTTGAGAACAAGAAAGTAATGCAATTGAGGATGAGAATAGGTGATCATGATGTGTACTTTGTAAATTGTTGCATTGCTGCACAATTAGAATCCATCAATTATCGAGGTTCTAGTCGATATTCCACCACTGAGGATCTCAAGGAGAATGGAGGCAATCAGTTGTTTATGTTATTCCACTCTCCTGGCCCTTTATTCATAAATACAAGTCCGACAGTTGAAGGGACTGCATCTTCTGGGCAGAATGGACGACCATTTGCAGCCATCAATAGCTCAGGACACACATGAATATTGTGAAAATGGATTTAACCTTGGTGGAGCAGGTAAGAAAATGCCTGAGAGGATTATGGCTAAGGATCTTCTAAACAACATTGTGGAATCAATTGCTGATGGTTTGTCAAAGTAGAGCTCAATTTCGAAGCAAAAATCAGCAGATCATGCTACTTGGGAATTTTTCTTTAATGCATTGACGACAATGTTTCCCCATTTAGATCCTTGAGGTCAAGGATCTCTTTGCATATATTTGCTATTTGGTATTCTTTTTATTTTTTTGATAGCCTCAGTTTGCGAGCACTAGACTAATTCCACATGCCAGTTACCTCCTACCGGGTAAATGTGTCCACCAAGACGAAAACCGATAGGAAGAAATTGCCCTGTTCTGTCTATGCTGGGATTTAAACTTGAGAGCTCACGGTGCTCAACCCACTTCATTGACCAATAAGTCACATCCTTGGGTGCATATTTGCTATTTGGTATTGTGTGCAGACAACATAGAAACCAGTGGAAGAAGACTAGTAGTAATATATTAAGCTATTAGCTGATGCATAGGTTGATACTACTATGCTAATAGCTTCACTAGAAATCTTCCTAATTGTCTGCATTGTTTTCTTTTATGAATTGAAATTAAACTAGCTTTTTGGACATAGAATTAGTTGAAACTTGGAAAACAAAGAAGAAGAGTTTTTGAAGTTTGTTGAAAAAACTTAAAAATTCCGCGATCTTGTGTTTTCACCTGGTATGGACCAGTTTGAAGATAGATTTTAAAAAACAGACCAAATTCCATGAACAAACTATTTTTTCAATCTTCTTTTTTGTTTTTGAAAATCTACTCTCAGAATCAATGGCCAAACGGGAGCGAAGTAGCTTCTATTAGATTTCATAAAGAGACTGTCACTCTATATACAGGTAGTAACCGACAAAGTTTGTTAGAACAGAAAGCTACTACCCTCCCCAGACTCCTTTTGTGGAATTACACTAGGTAAGTTATTGTTGTAGAAAGCTACTACTTCAGAGTGAACTTCTCTGAACTATAAGCTGATCTATAAGCGTAGTGACTGGTTAGTCCTCAATCACTTTTTTGGAACAAATTGCTAAGCACTTAGTTTACAATAAAACAGTCACTTGTTACATGTTATGAATGAAAATACATTTACTTGATAAAAAAAGATGAAAATGTAACACAAAACCAAAATAGAATGGTTGAATAGGAGAGGTGGCACTGAAGTGTTATTTCAGACAAGGATAGCTGTCAGAGTGAAATGCAAGTTCTATAATAAGCTCATTTTACTAGCAATGTTATATAGGGGTAATGTTGGACCTCTATGGTCTAGCATATCCACTAAATGTGTGTCTCAGAAACGTGAATATTAAGATAGATATGCAACCATACACGATTAGACAAGATAATACACATTTTAGAAGGTGCGAGTAATAAACATAAAGGTAAAATCATAAAACTAGAGGTCAATTGAGATGGGTTGGTCATATTTTATGTCAAGCTCCAAATGCACGATGTGAAATCATGATGGTGGAAGGTGTTAAAAAGGGACCAAGGTAAACCTAAAGTCGCATGGAATGAAGCTTTCTCAAAGACCCACAAACTCTTGAAATCCATGTAAACTTAGAGAAAAATAGGACATAATGGAAGAAACATCCATATAGGCAATATCAATTAGTTGGGATTAAGTTTTAGTCATGTTCGTATATTTACTTTAGGTCAATATTTATTAGGAGTCTTTTAGTATTGTTGTTGATTTATATGTTAGTAGACTGGTAAGACTATAGAGCACGTGATGTGTGTATATTTGAACCCTACCACACAAAATCTTGTATTTAAGTGGAGAAGGGTAGAGGGTTAACCCCATTAACGACCAAGTTTCAAATTGTGCATCACTGGCTCTCGGAGATTACCTAATTATCAAAAAAATATATGCTAGCAGAAAATGTGAAGAACTTCTAGTGCTAAGGAACATATATATTTAAAATAAAAGGCAATAGCTGGGGGGGGGGGGCCC